TGGAAGGAGAGCTCAGAGATGTAGAGACTGGGGCTCAGCACTATGTAACGACCTGCACTTGTTCTCTGGGGAAAAGCATTTTGTTCCTGCCAGGAGAGAAATGAGTTACACCAGGGTGGTCCAAGCTCTGCTGCCCTGGAAAGGGAATCCCACTTTTGTGCTTTCCCCCTGGGAGATCTTTAGTAGACCCTCTTTAGGGTGTAAAGGAACAAACTGTAGTCACCAGACCTGTTACGGCTTTATGTCTCACTTTGAGGCTGTGGTTCCGCTTGGTGGGGAGATGCAGCTGGATGTTTGCTCCTAAGGCCTGGAATCTTAGATGGTATCTCTGTGTTACTTTCACTACATGCTGATACATTTTTGGACTTATTTCCCCTATGAACCACCAGCAAGAATTCTTAGATTATTAACTGTGAGACAATTATTTACAGTTATTACCCAGTAGTCCTCTGTTGTAGCAGAAATGTTTACTGATAGTTCCAGTATTTGTGACACACGGAGTAATCCATCCTTAGCACCTTAAGTGTTCTGTCTGTGCATACAACTCAAACTGCAGGGATGTTTGCATTCAGCCACACAGAACTGTAAGACATTGCTACGAACATCACCTCAGAGAGAAAAAGACTATCTTGATTACTTCAAGAGTATTGGCTGGGGAATAAGACAATTTCTTAATTATACACTCAGTGTGGATGCAATATGTTCCTACCTCAAGTCATAAACGCACGAAGCACACTTTGTAGCTTCCCCCCACCTCCCCTGCCACTAGGTGTTTGACTTTGGACTGTCTAAAAAGTAGATGGATGTCATCTTCACCTTTAACAGGAACTGGAGGGCAATTCCAGTGCTCCAGAATGTTCCTTATTATCCTTATTTTCCACTAGGCCTATCTCTATCTGTAGTTTCATAGAATCATAGAATGGTTAGGGTTGGAAAAGACCTTAAAGATCGTTGAGTTCCAACTTTCATCTCCCTTAGCGTGAAAACATACATGACTAAAAGCAGGGAGATCTCATATCTTAAACCCTGGACCCCAGGTAATGAGACATGTCCTGGAACTGGCCTCAGGAGGCGATTCATTCAGGGCATTCCCTTCAGTATCTCAGTGTTGCATGTGCTTGCTCACAAGCCTGTGTTCAAATTAATGACAGCAGCAAAACTTGAGTACATTGGCAGTGGGGGAGGGAGGCTGCAGCAGGGAAATGCTGCTGAAGATACCTTCCACAATACTTAAATAACCATTTCTTTCTCTTCTCAGAGATGTCAATCACAAGGACTACCCATTCAAAGCAATATATTAATGCCAGTGGTTTCTGCAAGACCTCCATGTAACTCCTTCCAGATTAGAAGATGTACTCTGTAGCTTGGTCTTGATTTCTTCTTCTGTATTTGACAATCATTACAAGCAGTTATTTGTCCTGCTTTTTTAGGAGGAAACCACTAGCTGGTAAAAGAATGCATGAGTAGGGATGGGTCTTTTGTAAAGATGGTTAGCAGAAATCTGGTTTTGATTAATAGTAAAAAGACAATGTCTCTTCATTTCCTTTTTTCCTTGTCTTCCTTAATTAAAGACACGTTTAACAAAAAACTCTGGTTATTTACATTATTTTTTTATGTTATTTCCAGTGCAGTCAGTCATACTGGCTCATGAGTTGCTGTCAAGGAATGCTCTCTTTAACTACTTTGCTTTTTACATAGCTGTGATTTTTATAGTTTGAATCTCTAATGCTTTAAAATTTTATATGAATAAAGTTTCAATAGCAACAAGACTTAATCAGTGAAGTGCTTAAATTGTTTCATACAATTAGTTATAAACATGTCTGAAGTATTTTTTTTTAATTTTAATATAGATAGAAATGAGCTGCTATAATTCCTGTTCAAGGACAATAGATAAAGACTACTTTGTGCCTTATGCATCAAACAGCTAGAACCTGAAGAACAAATTTGTACCTGTTACCTCATGTAGCCCTCATTCTGAACACCTAGAAATTGAACTCTTGTGTGATTAGTGGTGAAAAGTTGAAGACAACATTATATGCAGTGATAAAACACATCAAAATATACACAGCCAAACATAAGTGCTGTCTACAAAATCAGACTGGCTTGCTCTGGAAGTCTCAAACACAAAATTATATTTTTGCAATTCTGCTAGCAGCACTCAGAACAATATACGCAGACAAAGGTTGGCTTCATCTAAGGAAATCATAGAAGAACATTTCTTTTAAAGCACCAAAGCAAACTCTGAAGTAGACTCACAATTTTCAGGTGGATAATGCTAGGCCAAAGCAAAGGCAGGCTTGGAAAAGGTTTTTTTGTGGCATCCTGCATGCCCACAAGAGAAAATCTGTCTAGGATGTAGAATGAACTGTAGGGAAGCATGATCAGAAACTAAGGTGACAGTTTGGTATTGTCTGAAAAATCATCACCTCATGATGGTACACGAAACACCAGAAAAGCTTGTAGTGCTGCTGACTCAGCCACTGGGATTTGTCTTTGGCAAATTCTGCCAGGAGGTGGTGCCAGCTGGTGGGAAAGAAACCAAGACCACACCACATTACAGTATTTTCTAAAACTAAAACTGATTGTGTCCAGCACACTTCCACGCTCTCAGAAAACGCAATAACCAGGAGCAAAAGAAACTTATTTACGTTGACAAGGAAAAGCGTCACTTCAGCAAAGCTCCAAGAGAAATGAAGCAACGTAGCTGGGCAGTATGAGAACAGGAACGCTTGCAAGCATACAAGCTCTATTCAGGTTAAATTAGTCAGCATCTGATTATTTGCTCCCCAGTAAGTTAGAAAACTTTCTGCCTGCTGCAGCCTTCCCATTCCTTCCCGTGGAGTTGGCAGGAGCCTGGGGAGTGCCTCTTTCCATGGTTAGAGTAGGGAGTTACGTGCTCTATTGCTGTTAGAGAAAAAATGAAGGGGATAGGAGGATGATGGGAGAGCCAGCAGCTCCCCAGGCTTGGTCCCTGTGATCATCCAAGCCTGGAAGCACTTCCCACTGAGGCAGACAGAAGAAACACAACGACTCTCACACAGAAAACATTTTCCAAAGGAGGAGAGGAGACAGCTGTGCCATTAGGTCAGAACCTACTTTGCTGAGCACATTGACGTCTGGATGATGTACAGCTCCCATCTTGTACTGATAGAAAAGACAATTAAGATTTTTTTTTTCCCCCCTTAAGAACATGTAGATTAAAGCTGCTGATTTTATGACTTGGCTGTCTGCTGTAGGAGAGATCCTTCGAGCTTCTTTGCAATGATACTTTATCTTACACAGCCTTAGCTCAATTCCTATCCCAGTTACAACTGGCTTATTCCTACTCATTAACAAACAGGGGGCTGCTGATGGAAATATTCCATTTATTGTGGATGCAGTTTCAGAATACATTGTTTGAACAAATCATTTTTATTGTAGTTATCGGATGTATTTGAAAGACTCAGAGGAGTGTTTACAAAACCCCCAAACAAAAAACATGACAACTCAGAGACAATGTCAGGCACAGTTTCACCCCCTACAGATAACTACGTGTATCTCTATATGTGAACAAGATGTTTCAGCCAAGCGGGGGAGCTCCTCTTTGTGTTGACATATAACATTCTTCTTCTTTAGGAAGAAGTCAGATGCTGTAAGAGATGGAAGTGGTGAAAAGGAAGATCCTGATAGTTCCAGTGCACGGCAAAGCTGTTAACAATGTGCTTGAGGGCTACTTCGGTTGCTCAGTTATGCCACCCATACACTGTAGTATGTAAATGCTAAGCTGTATGGCATGTAAATTCAAACCAAGCTGACGTCTTACAGCCATGTGTTTACTATATACAAATGAAAACATCTGTAAATAAGATACTCAGGAGAGAGAGTTAAAAAGAAGCACTATCAAGATAGAGGTTTACTTCATTTTAGGTGGACTTAGTGTACGGCACTGATGGATGGCAAGATTTAGTGTACAGTCATTTGAAACAAGCTCCAACAGTGTTTAGTTTTGTTTTTTTCCTTTTTAATTATGGTAGTTTTATATAAATTAAACTACAACGTTTTATACAAGTGACCTATTTTTGACCCTCTATACCCTTACCTTCTCATCTTTTAAAAACTATACTTTCTTTTTAATTACCCATTACTAGGCAACTGACATTTAAATTTTTTTTAATACTTATTTCACCATACCTCTAATGGCAATTATGAAAGTTTACTACAGAAAAGTGTGTGATTTTGTCTTTATTTTTTTAAGCTGTGATATTGGCTAATTATGTATGTTTATTTCTATATATAATACTCTAGCACGTATTAAAGCATTCTACCATTAGTAGTGCCTTTAGGCTAAAATTTGTAAAGCTATATGTGTATATATTCTAAATTGCATTCAATTACTAGTCACTAACAACAAAAAGAAATACCAGTACCGCTGACAGCTAACATAATCATCCAAATTTAGGTATTAACTTAAACTAGAATGGAAAAATTGATACTTAAAAAAAAGTATAAAACAAAAAAATTAAAACACGTTATTGATGCAGTATTTCTCATGACATGGGCAACTTACAGAAAATATTACATTGTCAACTAAAGATATTTCTTCCATGCCTTAGTCTAAAGTGCAGAAAGAAAGACTTCTGTATTCCAAAAGTAACCATTGTTTTTATAGGTTTACTGCACACCCTTCTTAAGCAACTTCACTTTACATGCATTTTGGGTTGACCTCTTATGCTAGTTGAAATCACTGTTCAGATACATAGTTAGTTATGCCTATCAGTAGGAGAGTCTACATATTTCACAGCATGGGTTTCTTTACGAATAAAGGCTCTTGTGCAAAGGCAGTACTATCATGAAGAATGTCTAGACTGATTATTAAATACAGTGCTAATATACATGGTTTTAACTGGGATAATGCAAAAAGACATTTTGGTAAATAAACATAAATATAAAAAGAACAATTTAGCACTTTTTTCCTTTTTTTTTTCCCCCCAATTGATTGGTCCAGCGTTGTTAGTAGCCTTCTATGGTTCTTTCTCAAATTGTCTCAAACCTGCTGAGAAAGAGAAAGATTAAAGACGGCTTGAAATAACCTGAATGCATCTCTGAAACAGAGAGGGTATGGCTCTAGATTAACACACAGAATGTAAGAAGACAGGACACAAGCTGGATGCTGCTGTGCTTGCCTTCTGGGATCACTCAGAGATGGTATCCAAGAGCAGGGTTTCACCACAAGACCTCTCTCACCTTTGACAGCCCCAGGAAGCAGCTCAGGGAGAGCTCAAGAGCTTCCCCCCCAGAAACGTGGAGGGTGCTGCACCCAACACGCTCCTGCCTCACCTCTCCCCAGCCACGCGTGGGCGTCTCTCAGGCTAAGGCAGGCTGTGCTGCAGCACTCAGTGCACGCACTCCGAGTCCACATCAAGACTGAAAGCTGGCTGCTGAGACCCTCCTCCTACAACCCCTCTGCTGAAGCCTTCATCTCAGCCTTAGCAAAGAAGCTCAGTGGTGCCCAAACCTCTCAGCGGGGGCTGTCCTGGGGCCAACAAGCGTGAGCATTAACACCTCACGTGGGAACCAAGTTCTGCTGACACAGAGTGAGCCTGAAAGCCCTCTCCTAACACCTCAGTTTAAAAAAAGAAGAGGATGAGGAGGAAGATGATTTTGTTTTGCACAATTTTAAATTGATAAGTCTATGGGCATACCACAGCTCTGGCTTCACATACAAATGTGAAGAAGGAAGTCTACACATATTAATGTGTAGAAAACAAAAAGTTGGTTTATATTTGATCATTTAATACCTAGTGAAGAGTCAAGGGATGTTGCAAGGCATCTTAAAGCTATTAAATTGATCAGTGAGCTTCCATTCTTCCCCACTGGTCTTTAGGCACATAATTCCTTTAATTGGTTTTATTTGGAGTGTTTTAGAATAAAAAGAAAATTTAAAAAGCTAGGAGGCTAATATTGCTGATTTATTTCTGTACAACTAGGTTGTGTTTCCCAAACTAGTAGTTTCAAAGTTACAGGAGTAAGACTCTTTTTGCCTTCAGAAAACACCAATGCACAGCTCCAGCAAAAGCAATGCTGCTGTTGAGTGTGTTTGAACTCCAGTCCAGTCTGGGTGAGCACGAGCACATGTGACAACCAGCCAGAGGAATTACTTTTAAAAATCAGTGCTGCTGAATTTTCATCAGACTTCCCTGTTACCCAGTGGCAGTGTTCAAAATCAGATGCAGGGCTTGTTCTCAGTAGTACTGAAATCTTCCATTTCTGCTCAAATAATATTGCTACAACAGCCTCGCTTTTTGGGTTCCCTCTCTTCACTTACGAAAGGCATATCCATTGCTGCTGCAACCTTTAAAAGAGCTTTTCCTAGATGCCTTGTATTTGTTGTAATTAGTTAAATGACCATCCCATTATGCGGACCTCACTCAGTTTAATGAAACTCTCCAGCTACAGCAAACATGCTATGCATGTCACTTGAACAAGGCTTTGCAAACATGACTGGAGCACTGCTAGTTCTCAGTCCTCCTAGAAAGATGATTTAGGTTTATTTCTCAAACATTCATGTTTTGATGATTTTGCAATGGAGCTTTTGGAAGGTAAAGGTAAAAAGGGTTGTCGCCCATGTGAAAATGTGGCAAAGTTTCTACTTAATATGTAGGTGTATTATTAGAATTACTTACCATTAGTCTCTGATTTTTTTCCCATAGGTGATACCTGTTTGAAAAAGTAATAACCCATTCTTAAAGTTGAATACTGGAAAACACAGCTATTCATAATAGGAAAAAAATCAACTCCATGCAAAGGACAGATTTCCATGCACAACACAGGTCTGCCAAATAGGAATATAAAAGTGACATGCTGTCCATAGCTTTCCTCATTGTACTTTCTTTTACAGATAAAATGGGAGGTTAGTAACAAAAGACCTGTAGATGCCTAATTCCAACTGACCAACAGTATGAAGGCAAATGCCACCTTCCCCCTAGAAAGCCTCCCACAGAGATATTATCCTTTTAACAAGGCACTGAATTGTTACCTTAGAAGAAGCAGCTGGCTTTTCAACTGACTGCTTCTCCCAGAGATTACGTTTGCCGGACACGTCTCCTGGTTTTAAATCCTGTATTTTAAAAATAATGTCAGAGAACAGAAACCAACATTAGTTCAGGTTTATTTTAATTCGTTAGAGAAAAAGTTAGAATGCAACTTCCTTATAAGAAAAGTTGAGGAGCATACACCAGTGATAAATGTTACATTGTCTATCAATTATAAAGCTATTCAGAATGACTTTTCACATAATCACTCCACAAATATACATGTTTTACAACAAAAAAGCATCCTGCTGCACCTCTTTAGTGTTTCATAGACTGGACATAACTTATTGCATTCAATACTAGGGAGTACAAGTTAAAAGTTACAGCACTATCAGGTTTTTAGGAAAGACAATTCCAATTTTTGCAGAAAAAAAAATTATTTTCAGAAATTGTATTTCTGTTAGGGAGGAACTCAAAGTAACTTGTCTCAGCTATTTTAGATCAGAAGTAAAATATTTAATGAAAAAACTGTAAAAAAATAGAGTAAGACTTCTAATAAAACAGAAAATCAGATCTTCGTCTGCATTCTCAAATGTAAGTTTCAGGATTTAACATGGTAGTCTTTCACATCCATTTGAATTTCCATTGCATCCTTTAAAACCTCAGCATGTACCAGTCACTACACTGGCAGAAAAAAACACGTGAGGTTAAATCATTAAAAACAACAATATTCTCTGAAAATTAGTGTATATAGAGACTTTAAGCAAAACCCAAACAAAAATGCTGCTTCTTGAGGAAAAGCAGGGTGCAAATCAAGATGAGATATGCTAGGCTAGCAGCAATGCTTAAGGACAGACAGATTGGTATCTAACCCTGTGGCTGGCAAACAAAAGACGCTTTCTGAACAATTTTGCACATAAGTACTCTCCTTTTCAAAAAGTGTTCAAGTCCTGCACAGTTTCTAGAATCTTGTTCTTGCCATCCATAGATAGGTAATTTTCTGTAAATGAAAATTTCTAACTTGGGCAGAGAAATGCTCAGTGATGAATGGAAATGTGATTTCTTCAAGAGGTATTTGCACCCAACAGAGATGCTCTAGAACTGATCATAATTTACAGCCAAAGAGGGTTGCTGATGGTTAAGACTTTAAGTCAATTCTGTACTTCAAAAAGCCAGTTCAGCAGTTACAGAGAAGGAAGAAAACAGCAAAATTGCAGTGAACCTCATCACAAAACACTTGTGGTGGACATTATCACAAAACCACTTCCATAATCCTGAACTCATTTAGGACCTGTGCCTTAGGTTCACCATAAAACCAATTGAGATCTTTGCTCCATCTACTTTTAAGTGACTGTTGTTCCAAAAGCCACAAGAATCTTGATGGTCACAAAAGCTTTGAATGATTCTTTATTTTGGTGGAATGTGATGGGTGTAGGAAGTTATTTGCTAACTAAGAAATTCTAGGTTTCCCTTTGATTTATCCTCGTTTAAAAAAAAACAAAAAAGTAAAAAAAAAAAATCACACATTACAGATGTATATAATTCATAGTCAATTATAAACAGGTTTACCTGACCAACTTAGCAAACAGACCCCCAAAGAAGAAGAATAGGAGGAGGGCAGGTTCCTTCAAGCAGAGATATTGAAAGAAGAAAGAACAATCTATTGAGAAAGAGGGAAATGAAGACATAGACAGAAACAGTTGGCTGAAGGGAAAACAAAATGTTAGTTTTACATTATCCAAAAGATACAACTTAAAAGGAAGAAGAAAATCTGAAGGCAGATTCTTTGCTGGTTTTCAGCGGTTGTGATTAAATACAGAAGTCACAATGACTTGTTTTTATATTGGTGTCCATAAGGACACAATCTCCGTGTAGCTACCGGTCAATACTGACATTAGGGACAATGCTGCACATCTCAAGCTCCTGTTTGGGAAAAACAGGAGTGTGACTTAAGAAAGCGTTTGTCAGACTGCACCTTTTATAAAGGGCAAGTGGACTGTCAGAAAAATGCTGCACAAGGATATCGGAAGAAACCAGTTATTTAATAAAACCCCAAAGTTGAATCATTAACACCACAAGTGATGCCCTGCTATTCTCCAATATGGATAACTACAGCTCCAGTTCCTCATCCCTAGCCCTTCCCACCCCACAATTACCTGTTTCTGCTCCTTCCCACATCCACACTGCTGCTTCCCACATTCCCAGCTTATTACTTTGATAGCATTTTCTGCTCTGATTCTTGCTGAAATAATGGGCATCCTAAAGGGCCTTCATTAGAAACTACATTTAGGCTCATAAATGATTAAAGTATTTCAGTTGTCTTTAAAAATATACTTGGAAGAATTTTATAGGGCAAGGACCAAAGTACAAGTGTTTCATCCAAGGTCTACGGCTAGTAATTTCTAAATTAATGGTAGGCCTTTCACAGGTGTTAAATTAATGTCCTTCTCTACCAGAGAAATGCTTCTCTGAGTACTGCCTTTTCAGAGCACCCCTAAGCTTTGTGGTGAGAACTACCCTGTACCATCTCCCCCTTTTTTGACTACCCAGGAGTCAGCAGCCAGAGGGCCTCTGTGAGCTTCGAAGAGAGAACATGCTGCAAGGTTCCTCCAAAGACCATCAGCTGGTTGAGGAAGCACTGTCACCACCTCTGCCCCAGGAGAGAAGCCACCTATTGAAGAGCTGGTTGTTGCAGGTCTACTTACAGAAGGTTTTGGAGCGGGTGATTTGTTGCCTTCTGGGGTCTTGGTTAACCACTCATTGATACGACTGGAGACACCAACTTTCAGTCCAGCAGTTTCCTGCAAAACAATATTATCTAATCAGAAGACTTTCAGAATAGCTTTTGCTATGTTTTCCACAGTTTAGATTTAAAAACAAAGCCAAGCCTGAGTTTAATATAGAGGTCCCCACTGAGGCTATGGCTAAGAGTCATCCTGTGTGCTATGAAGATATGTCCTGTGAACTACACAGTACTACTAAATCATTTCCACTTTAGTGCTAACCCAGGAATAGACGTTGGACATAAACCTGCTGTTTTTGTCATAAGCCCGAACTCCAAGAAAAAATCTTTAGCATAAAAGAAGACACCGGTCTAAGTCTACATTTTTGTTTTGTTAAACTAATTTTCTTTCAAAAAAGCAATAGAGCAGTTAAGCAGCCTAAAATTTAAATCATTAAAATAAACTCTTTAAAAGGTTAGGACAAATTACTAAAATTTCATGGCTTTCTGTAAAAATGCCCTTCAATCTATGGCTCAGTTTTTTGGCTATGAAGAATGCTCATCAACTCACATCAATTTATGGAAAGGAAATGTTGCCTTAAATATTTACGTAGAAAGATAAAGGTCTCACAAACACTTCTGTGCATTATCTATAAACCATCATCATTATCTTGCCTATTTAATTCTTCTTAGCCCCCCTAAAATAATTTTTTCCAACACAAAGAATTTCTTTGTACTCTGCTTGAACTACCCAGATATATTTGTCTGAGATATCTGATGTGACTCTGGAATGTCTCATAACTTAGCTCAGTACGTCATGAAATTCTTCCATTATACTCAACATTGCAGCCACACAATTTTGTGGGTTTCTAAGTACCTCAGCATCCTTTGGGATATTCTTCACTAGTGTTGTCAATGGGAGCAGCCAGACTTACTCATAGGAATATGAACAGCAAGGTCAGGTCCATAACACAATTTTTATAATCACTATGTAAAATTAAGCACATACCTTATTTGGTGTTCCTGGCCCAGAAGGTGATGAAAAAACATTCCCTTTCTCCCACATGCTCTTGATATTACGGACACCCTCAGCTGGAACAGGAAGGTCGGACGCTGCTGGCTTAGCTGGTCTTGCAGCCTTTGTGCCCTGCAGAAAAATTGAGGCCCGTTGCTGTAGCTTTAAGAGCTGGAGTTGCAAGGTGGTTTGACTCTGGGGCATTGCTGGGGAATGCAGCCGCTGTAAATGGTTCTAGTGGCAATCATGTAAAGACAGAAGGGATTACCCAGCTCAAGAGATGCCACTGAGACTCTGCCCTTTTTGATTTGCAGTTGCATCCTTGACACGGCCAGCTATGAAAACTGCAATCACTTAAATTTTTGCATCTGTTACATTTCTAAAGCTCGTGGCAAACCTTATCTCTGCACACAACTGCTCCAAGGCTTTTGTTTGTCCTCTTTCAAGTCTTAGCACCTGCGTCCTATAAGCATAGCTCTTTCAGGGACACAGCTATGAAAATCCTTAGACAGAGGAAGGGGAGAAAGTCTGCTCTGTCATTCAGCATCAAACTATGCTCCATCTGTCTCAGACAACTTAACCTCACAACTCCAGATTCCAGGGGTAAATTTCAGCAATTACAGTATATTTGGAATAAGGTGTTTTTTTAAAGAGTCGAGGGTTATGGGACTGGGATTTTTTTTTTTTTTGGCAGTGTGTCTTTTGCATGGTTGCTAAAAACACTGGACTAAACTCCTCCTGTTCCTTTTTTTAAAAATTCTTGTACATTTTACATAACACAGATTTGAGGAGAATAAGAACCTGATGAAGCTTTGCCTCTCTAGTTGCAAAGCAAGTCATTTGGCAACTTTTGGAAAATCAGAAACCCAGCAAAGGAATAATTTCAAGTCAAATGGGAGCTGTATATAACTGTGAAGCTGCACTGCAAGCTTGCTGTAGAGTATGTTTTTTAATATCTAAATGGAGCATAAAAACTCATGACCTTAGCACAGCCCTACTGAAAATACTGGAGAACCTAACATAAGCTGGTGGGTGGGCTGGTCTGGTGTTTATGGGTTGAAAAACCCTGACTTCACTATTACACAAATTTCTTATGAAAGATGGAGCTGTAGCTCCAACCCACCCACTCTCACTAAGGAGTTTAACGTCAAACTCCAAGTGCCAAATTAAAGCCCTAGTCACTCTAGGGTGGTTATATGTCATCCAGAAAAGGCACAGAGTGAAGTGGGAGGACAGAAACTGTTAAGTTTCTACTTTGACGATATGGGGACTGCTGGGTGTCACGCTGACATTCATCTCTAATGCAGGGGTTTGAGCTACCTTCAGCTTGACATAGGTGCTGGAGGAAAGCCTGAGCCTTCAGCACTGTAATGCATGTGCTTTTTTCATCAGGAACTGACACACGGTATAAAACTCTCCAGCACTGATAGCCTTCCTAGCAGAAAGGTTAAATGGACAGCAGTCACAGAAAAAAAAAAAAAGCCTTTGTTAATTGATCTTTAATTACTAAATTTTCCTTTAAGTTAGACGATAATAAAGCCTAACCAATTAATACCTTAATGGAATACCATGCTTAGACTCTATATGTGAACAAGAGGTGAAAAAAAATCCAGCATGGAATAAAGAAGTGCTAGACCTTCATCACAGCTCTTAAGATAATATCCCTTTTTATACTATTCTATTCCCATGACACTTACAAACCTGGTCTAGCTGGCCTGCTGTATTAACCAGTAGCTTCCACATTGTCTGTACTCACTGATTTATAAAAACAGATAAAAATCACAAACAAACAAACCAACAAACAAACAAAACCACAAAACAAAACTAAAAAAGAAAGCAAACACCTATTTTTTCCTTGGACTAGGAAAAGAAAGAAGCCTTCAATTCTGGCTTCTGGTCACATTATTAGCCACTATTTGTCAAAGTCACCTGGGGTCAAATTCTGTATCTTATTTTGATTCTGTTTTTCCTTTGTCACTACTTAACTCCCTAGTTCACTTAAGTGTCTTTCTTTCCCAAGGAATTTCACTCCTGGGAAATTCCAGGAGTGAACCTAGTGGCAGCTAGCAACACAAACAGAGTTCCTTGCTCTCCAAAATTAGCTGCTAGGTCAGCTTTGCTCAAGATGACTATCAGCTCTCTGCTGATAGCACTTTCATCAGCCAAGAAGAGGATGAGACTGTCACTCAAAAGATGCTGACTGAGTTTTTCAAGAGCTACCCCAAGCTTACAAAGCAGAGCAAACTGTAGCATGAAAGGGAAGACATGAATCTGAAGTTTTATTTAGATATATATCTGGATGTTGGTCATAGGTGTGCCTCAAGCATTTTGTCTTTGAAGTCACATTAAAAAAGGGTTTGTGACCAAAAATCCCTGCACTTCTCGAACTGTAAAAACTAGGTTGATTAAAGTCCCAAAAGCTAGAGCCATCATGACCTGGAATTAACTTACCACAACTGCACTCGTGTATTGCTCAAGTCTACTGTCAATCTTTGAGACAACTGCTGTCGTGTGTGTGGGTTTCATACCACTGTAGGAAGTAGAAAAAGAGAAAGAAATTATTATTCCCTCCAATTAAACACCGGGTTTTTTGACTGAACATATTGTTTTATTGCTTTACCTCTTCTGAGCGGATTTGTTCAAAAATTCTGCTCGCTCCTCTATCTAGAGAAGAAAGAAAACAAGAGCTGTAAGTTTAAAATTAACAAAAAGGCAGCCTGTACAAGGTCAGGCTAAAATGTAATTTTAAATGTCAAAAGGTCAATATGAAAGAGATGCATTCCAACAGAAATCACCACAGACACACACACAGGTTTTATAGTTAGGAGCCTATGATGCTACAGATTCATAAAGGTCGATGTATTTTCTGCATTAATGTTTCCATCCTGCATATTTTTTTTAGTGCTTCATTTGTAACAAGAGAGCAAACCACCAATACAGAAAGGAGAAAGAGGAAGAAGTTCATCTTATGAAAGGGGTTGACATTCACAAGATCTATGACAAATTTCCTCATATCTCCCACATAAGAGCAAGTACATATCTCTTGAGACAGGCAGCAAATTTAATAAAGATTTTCTGAGTTAAGACATCAGCCTAGGCCAGGTTTGGAGCTTAGCCACATACCCTACCTCATGCATGTTTTTGCAGGACACAATTTAATTTGAGCTCCAAAAAAACAATCAGACTGTACTCTGCTCATGTTCAAGTAGGGTTGCTGCTGAGTCAATATCTACCAGCTGTTATTATACAAACTTGTATCTTACATTTCATTATAATTTTCTACTCTGTGTGTAGGAAAATATTGTAATGTTTCCAGGGAAAAAAACATGCAGGACTTATAAGACATGCCAAATCTCTCAATAACTTGAAAACAAAAAGACTCCATTCACGAACAAAGTTTTAAAAGATTTCACAATAGTTTGGGGTCTGTTTGCATTCTGGGTCAAGGAATACTTTAATCAAACTTCCTCAAGTCTCTTCCACATTGCATTGTTCCACTTCTTGTCCCAAGCTCTACAGCTTCACTTAAGAGTAAAATATACACACATAGCTCCAGGGGATAGAAATGGCCATTAATCAGCCTGGCTCGATGCCTGGGGACTCCCCAGTCTCAGTACAGGTTGTCCATTTTCAAGTTACTTTAACAGTGACTGCTCTGGCATTCATGCCTTTAATATAAGGCAATGACAGCCATTCCTTTAAATAGTTCTCCTCAGTGCCCTTTAGCATCCAGGCTGTACACGAATACTAAATCCCACAGCAATCCCATCAAAAGGCTCTCATGTTTTATTTCTGAAGCAAAAACTCAGGCAGTTCACTTCAGTGCAGAATTGCCAAACAAGGTTACTGGAGGAACTCCAGCTACCGTCAATCCAGCTCAAAGGCACCTCTAAAGCTCTAAAAAATATATATATACTATTACAGAATAGTTTACATTAACAGTTTTAGTTACCAATATATGATCTAAATAAATCCTGAGTGGAAAGGTTGCCCAAAGAAGCTGTGGATGCCCCATCCCTGGAGGTGTTCGGGGCCAGGCTGGATGAGGCTTTGAGCAGCCTGGTCTAGTGGAGGGTGTCCCTGCCCATGGCAGGGGGGTTGGAACTTGATGATCTTTAAGGTCCCTTCCAACCCAAACCATTCTATGATTCCATGACTTTATATTAAAGATGGGCTTTGCTCGGATATGTACCAACTGTTTCAATGCACCGTGGTCACAAGGTGGCAGCAATACACCAGGCAGGAGCTGCAGAGCCATGCGCACCCACACGGGTCCGGACCTGTGGCTCTTCTGACAGCCTTAACAGTTTACAACTTGGTTTCACCCGGAGGAAATACAGTCGGCATCGCCATTAAAACGAGCAAGTAAATTATTTGATTAACAGTGACTAAACAGATCTGCAATGGTAACTTAAAACATGTTGCATCCTCGACTATGGCATAATAGGAAAAGTTTCCCACAGTGCTGATCTCTGGGTCATAAGCAGTAATGCATCAAAAATGGTGAATTAGTCCATCCGGTTTCTCCCTTGCTCTGCATGAACGAGTAATTCTCCAACTGCATCAGTGAAGCCCTGGATGGCAAGGACAAACAATATGGACTATCTCAAAGAACCAGGACTCAAAGTAACCATCTAATAACTAATTTACGGCATCTTCTGGTTTAGACGAGTTGATATTCTACTTGAATTCTTACAAAAAGGATAGATCCTAAAAGATACCTAAAAGATGCTAACAATAGCATCTTTATAGTCTTGCTATGTTCAGGAGGGAGAGATGTTTCCACACAGCAGGAAAAATTGGCTTCGGTAGGCACTGGAGGAAGAGGGGTATAAGGTTGGGGGGAAGAGGGACATGTATTCTTGGTGTTGTAGTAAAAATACATGGGGTCATTCTTTACCCACTGGAAACAGCAGTTCTCAGAGTACCTGCTGCAGTATCAAGAGTAAGTCTTCAGAACAAGAGAGTGAGGAAGAAAACCAGAAAATAAGTTAAACAGGAGAGAAGAGTTAGGAAGCGACCTCAGAGCTGAACATAGTCCTGTTCCCAAGGAAGCAGGTGCATTGTGTGGATGGATAGCAAATTTTCTGCACACTAATATGAGAATTTGTTTTAGAGCATCTCCCTCAAAACACAGCATGCACAGAACAGAAGCATACATTGAATATCCCTAGAGCAAACACACCTGTATACATGTGTATTCAACCTAAAGGTCAAATACATATAGACTGCACAGCAACATCTAAAGGTCATTTATCCACTGCACACCACACAAACTCCATGCAAAGTATTTAAAATGATTGACACATACAGTAAATAGTATTACAAAATAGATCTGTAAGAGAAATAGACAAAGCAAGGTGGTTAGCACAAAATACAAGATGTTTCCTCAGTTTGAGACCAGGAAATAGGAATAATCTTTTTTCTACATTCATTTTAACAGGATCTTGTTAAATAGCTTGGACTGTGTTTTGTCACCATAGAATATTTTCCAAAGCCTGGGACACAGAACACACTTGTACTACAAAAACTCTACTTGACAGCTTCTAATTAAATTATTACTAGAGAAAAAGAAGATAGCATCTCAGGCTGTGGTTCTCCGACCTAACCTCAGCTGTTTGAAAGTTAAGTGTTTAGTCGAAGTTACTCATTTTGGTTCCCTCTTTAGTCAGTGGAGAGGCAGAGGAGCTTACTTGGCCCTAGGAAAGGTGGGACTGCTTGTCTGCTGAGGGTGACCTTTACTCTCTCTATTAACTACCAGAGAAGATTAGATTAAACAATAAAATGCTTAGATGGACACCTATCCTTCTGCTGGTAAAGTCAGAAATTAAACCAACGGACATAGATCAAAACCATGCAGAGTCTCACATCTAATTAGGGCCTTATTCAAAAGGGTCAACACATAGAGGTGGCAAGGAATAAATTAAACAAGATGTTACACAGTGATATGTGTATGCATTTATCCACATTCAATATAGACATTTTTTTCACTGATTGTGCAGCAAATGTCTTGCCTATTAAAAAAAATTTGAAGTGTGACTGTCAAAGTGTACTGTCTTCCATCTGTACATTCTCCAAGAACAGAAACAGAATGGAAGAGGTACGAGTTAACACACAATTTGAGCCAATGACTTGGGAAACAAAAAAACATCTAGATATTCCCAGTAAAACTTGTCTCATACAAAGGTGTTAAATCATTCTTAGGAATTTTAAACTGTCTATTAGATATTACGTGACAGAAAGCGTTGCAAACTGATATATAGAAAAACTCTTCTCAAAAAATGTTCAAGGAGGAAGGGGAGCAAGAAATACATGCTATTATAAAAATTATAATTTTTCTGCATATCCAACAGGTGGAAGAACCTAGTGGCAATCCATTTTGAGTGGCAGCCCCTGGGAGTAAAGTGGCTTATCTTTACCTTCCCTGAGTGGCTTACACACTCTTTTGCTTCACTAAGCAGTTAGGCTTTTTTCTGCTGTCAGCAGCATCTGTGCAGAGTGTACCAATTTACTCCAGTTTACCTGCCAGACTAGAGTGCTGCCATCAGCATCAAAGATGGGGGAAAAACAAATGTCACAAATCCTGTTCTTTACCACTCCATCTTCCCTCTGTTGCAAGAGTAGCTCATCTAGGAAGAACTGAATGCATGGAGTCTAATTCTTTCCAGTCATTGCTCCAGCTGTCAGGTATTGAGAACAATAATGAGATAGTATAAGACAGGTCTTTAAGGAAAGAAAAATCTCAAGCCCTGAGAAGTCCTACCTTCTGGCCTAGCTATCAGCATTGCCTTGCAGAGAGAGCGGGCTGCCACATCAGCCCATGTTTCCCAGAAGACATTTCCTGCAAAGACAGGAGATATCCCAGGCTCCCAACCTCATACCATTGCTTCCTCCCTTCAACACCTAACTGCTTTTGCATTTCTGTAGTGGTGGAGCTCACCTCCAAGAGGAGACTCAGTATCAAAATATAATGTCCTTTCCCAACTGACCTAGAGAATAGTTATACAAGAAGTCAATAACACTGCTTCCCAAAGAAAACATGATGACTGAACTTATCTAAAAAGGACAATGAACAAAGATTATGCAGGAAATCTGATTCGTCTACTGCAGCATCATTTGTATGAACTAAACTAAGGAAAGCATGAGCTAGAGCAAGATGGGAGAGCAGCAGAGGTTGTTCCAGTCTTTAGCCATATATATATATATATATACACAAACAAACAGGAAAAACAAAAACCAAACCCCACAAGAGAGAAGGCAGAGGCTGAACAGAGGTTTGGTACTGCTGCTGCTGCCCATAGGGATTCCACCAGCCCTGAGAAATCCAAGATGCTTCTGTCCCTGAGCTGTTGATGAACTTGGCCTGTATTTACTTTGCATGCTTCCTCTTCATTGTCCCCTTTGAAAGGACCAGTCTCCATGCTGCCGTAGTAGTTCAGCTGAAGTAGTGTCTCAAGTTTCAAGGAAATACTTTATTTAACAGTTAAAACAATGGGAGTTGTCAACAATGTGCAGGCTATGATTTACTAAAGGCCAGATTAGGTAACCACAGTAGTTCTTTCTATGTATAAGCATGTATGTATGTTATGTCCATGTTTGCATACATATATTTATATATGTGCATCCATCAGCCATGCCCTACTTTCCTCATCCAAGTCACTACCAGGAACTTATTTTTCTTCCCAAAAACCTCTCACATCAGGAAGGACAAAAAGATTCTTTCCCAGATTGTTATCTAGTGGAATTCAGAATGTGTACGTGAATCACACAATTTTAATACTGATCCTCCCTTTTTTCATTATTAATTCCAACCGCCCACCCACAATTGTGCACTTAGGGTTCTCACATGACTCATGACACATCTAACCAGATGATACATTCATCAAGGGAGAAAATATGTGCCAGATGCTTTACAAGTCAAAAGATAACTTGGGCAGTGCATAAAAGGCAGTGAGAAAACTGTGTACCAAACAGGTTAGACTAGCCTGAGAAGTCTGTCCAAATGAAAGGTAAAAAAATATACTGTCTTCTAAAAACTGGAGTTTGACATCGAATTTGACATTGGGATATTAAATTAAGATTATTCTCTCCTCCGCTATTGACCACAGAAGGCCAAGAACCAGTTTAGGGTGTGAAGTTCAATAGCACTGCATATCTACTCTGACCATCCACAAACACCAGACTGGAATATGTACGGTATCACTAATTTCTCAGAGAGAGAAACAGAAAGAGAAAAAAATGTGTACAGAGTTGCATATATTGAGTTTTGTAACAAACAACTTCTATCTAACAAGCTGTAAAAAACCAACAGCAATTACCATAAAAAAATAGGACTTTGGATGCTTACAACATCTGGAAAATTACAGCTTTTCTCTAAAAATATACTTAGTAGAATAGTGTAGCACCAGTCCAAAAGTTCTCTTAAAGCTATTAATTTCCTGCCAAATCCAGTGTGTTTTCCCACTCTCCCCAAAATTATGATCTATATCTTTCTATTATGTGTTTTCAAGTATGATTTCCTCTCTTCTGAGTCATCTGTGAACTAAAGCTCTAAATGTATGTCATAAAAGGCATCTCCATAAACAGAAAGAAGAAAAAGAAAAAAGGCCCCCACAAAAAAAAAAAAAAAAAAAAAAACCCCCCCCCCCCCCCCCCAGGAGGGCTGGGACGAAGCTGTACATTTATAGTGTCTGTTATTGACATGGTCTTTTGCAACTGAAATGGCAAGACCAGGTTTATCTAACAGGAGCAAGTCGTGAAGCTTGGCAGTCTTCATTCACAGCTGTATGTATTCAATCCTTGTATTTCAGGTTCAGATATGTCTGAGAAGTCAAAGGCAAGCCCAATCAAAAGCATTTGGACACTGTATTTTCTAGAACTGGACCCAAACAGTACAGGGCTGAAGCTCCAGATCTGTTCAAAATGTAGCTCTCTGTGAGTGGAAATGTAATGTTGAGCAAATGCAGTTTGTCACTCAACAAATACAGTTCTTAATCCCATGGAGATCCACTTCATGGTCCAAAGAGCTCCTACCTGATAACATCCTGCCTGGTTCTTTTCTCTTCTGGTGACCACTAAGGGGCCTTTTGCGACAAAAGTTTTGTATTAAATGACTAATGACACAAAATTAGAAAAGATAGCTGAAAGTGATTAATAGATCTGTAGTTTGAGCTTCAGCTGAGAAAGCAACTGGACTGAATACTAAAACAAAGTTCCCAATAATTTCAGTGGGGCCAGGATTCCTTTTCCATGTTGAAAGGCCATTTAATTGATTTATCTGACTTCCAATATAATATAGGCCACAGAAGACCACTTAGAAATTCCTGCAGCAACAGAAGGGTTTTTTTCCCTCTTATGTAAGAACATTAAATCCAGCCCAGTACTTCTAGATGTTATTTTTAGGAGATTTAGACATAAGCTAGAAATCCCATATGGGGCAGTTTCAGTTAATGATGATTAGGGTGAATATGCTTAAAGACAAAGTAGAACTGGCAAGGAACTAAGTCATTATGGATGTGGAAGGAGAGAAAGAAAATTTGTGATCTTTAGCTACTCCAGTTCACACACCACTCCCATAATAAATTAACACTGAAAATCAACACAGTAATACGACTACATTTCCAAAATTATTTTCTCTTGAAAGTGAAGATCCTTTTTGGAAATTTTTTATCAACAACAACAGGTAACTCCCAGTAACTCTTTTTTTTGAGAAAAAGATCACTAATTTTCAATCATCCCAATGAATGAATGAAGTCTTTCAGCTAAAGGTTTCAGGCTAAGGTCTATTTCAGAGCATTTTCCCAGGTCTGTTTTCAAGTATTTCCATACTGCTGTTGGTTTGGACTACAACCCCCATTACTTTTTATGCACTATATAGATGTTAGTGGGGAGGTTACCTTGAGAGATGAACCTTTAGGACTGAAACATTTAAATGGCTTCTTGTCTTCAGATACGCCATCTTCTGGCACCTTTTGACGTTTCTCAGCAGCTTCAGCCCTTCTCCTTTCAATTTCTTCCTTCATCCTCCTCTTTTCCTCCTTAAAAATAAGAATGGTCACTTATTCTTTCAGAAACTAAATCACCATTACAGGGCTTTGCAGTCCTGCAAACATTCACTAAATTTTCTAGGAACAGATATTTATGCCAGTCAAAGAAATTCAGTGACCTATCTAAAATCTAGCATTGTATTGCTGCTAATCCACCACATTGTTAAGGAAGTGGGGAAGACAGCTAGTCTGTGCTGCTTTAGCATCTCCTCACAGTGAGGTCACCAGATTTATTGCCACATAGTGCAACCTAAAGAGAGAAAAAAACCACATTTATAAAAATACTCAAATTCATTTTTTTCTCTATAGCCTCATGGATCATCTTTTACCATTCTTCTGTCCATCTACTCTGGCACTTGTTGTGCTAAGGTTAATGCGACCAGGTGACCTGTCTAGTGGATGAGG